GGTTGTATCTAAAAAAATATCGAATACAAGTCTAAAGAGGTTATAATGTATTTTATAGGCCATTTGTTAGGCTACACTTGGAGTTCTGTGTTAAGTGTTAGGCTCCTTACCTTAAAAAGGACATTGAATTGTTGGAAAGGGTGAAGGGAAGGATTTCTAAAATGATATCTGGGATGGAAAGATTGTCATAAGAGGATAGGTTAAGATCTTTAAACTTTTCTTTTGAAAAAAGAAGAATTAGGGGATCTGGTTGAGATGTTTTAATATTGTTAAGGGAATTGATAGTGTTGATTTATTGCATTTTCATTTTCAATGGTGAGAATGATAAGACTAAGGTGACACAAATATAAGTTTTGGCAGGGTAGAGTTATCTTCAACTAAGACAGCTTTATTTTTCTAATGGGGTTGTTGGTCTTGGAATGGGTTGCCTTTAGATATGGTAAGTGCACTTAATTCAAAGGAGCATAAGGGAAATCTTGATAAATTATAAAGGCTGGCATTGAGTTTTTTGTTTTAGTGTTTAGTTTGATTTAGTGTATAGGATGGCCTAAATGGATTAAAAAGGTCATTGTTGTCCTGTGATGTTATGTTATGTTAAGAGACTGATCAACCATTACACCAGGATCCTTTTCGTTCATGACACTATTAAGGTTATTCCCATCCAAATTTTTATAATTCAAATTCTGATAACCAGCGTGCATCATCTTGCATTTATTATATTTAAAACCCATCTGCCATTTATTTGGCCAACTTACTAAATGAGCTAAATGCTTTTGTAAAGCAGCAGCATCCTCTTCACAGATAGCAACTCCCAAGACTTTAATATGATCAGCAAATGTATGCAATTTATTGACAATTCCTTCGTCTATGTCATCATTGATGTACATCAAAAAGAGCAAAGGACCTAAGACTGATCCCTGAGGTACCCCACTTTAATCTAGTTTGACTGAACTTCATTTATAAAAACCCTTTGCTTTCTTCCATCCAGCCACTATTCTTCTCCAATTAGCTAACGTATCCCCCAAACATAAAGAGATAATTTTACAAGCCTTTTATGTGGCACCTCGTCAAATATACACCCTTACCCTCACCTACATAAATAGTAACATTTTCGTAGAATGCCAAAAGATTTGTAAGGCAAGGTTTTCCAATAGTGAAACCAAGTTGACTACCCAATAAAATTCTAAACTTTCTTAAATGACTTTGTAAAGCATTTTTTATCAAACTTTCCAAAACTTTTCCCACAAATAATGTAAGACTATAATTACTTTTTATTAGATTTTATTACCTCTCTTGAAAATAGGAGTAACATCTTCCAATCCTTTGGCACCTTACAGAAAATAGTGGCAAATGGCTCACATATCCAATCCTCATCCTCGTTTAAAACCCTTGAAAAAAATAGTATCTGGCCCAGGAACCTTACCATTCTTTACACTTCCCAATTTTTTCTTAACAAGCTCAGAATTAATGCAGTCATCTTCTCTGACCTTCTTTCCATCTATCAAGTGTTCAATATGAAGAATATTGCTTAAATTTTCATTAGCAAAAACTGAAGAAAAAGCAAAATTTAATAATACAGCCACTTCATAATCATTAGATAAAGGCCTTTCTTTATCATCCCTCAAGGATCCTACACTCATCCTAACATTTACTTTCTCGATCTCCAGTAATCTTCTGTCATACCAGTAAATTAAAATTTCTTAAATTTTATCTCTTACATCCTTTTGAAACCAACTTGGTTTCTTACTTGCAGAGAGAGAGTTGTATTTTTTCTAGCACATAATATGAATCAGGTTTTAATGAATCTAAGTGGAATACTCCTGTTGCACTGTATTTTTTCTTCTGTGATGCAATCTATAGTAAGTTAATTGACTCTTGAAAGGTGATATAGTAATTAGTATTTTTTAAAATACTACCAAGACTAAACCTATATATTAGTTCTTATTTTAAAATAAACACTAATACAATTAGACTATATTTAAAGACAGTTTGCATGCTAATACTATCCTTATTGCCCATACTTTAAAGAAATTACTTACTACCAAAATGAATCTTATTGTTAAGACAGCGGAAGTCACGTGACGCTGCTGGCGCATGCGTGGCCGAGTTTCTCGAATTATCGGGGAAGTTCGAGTATGATCAAGAAGACATCTTTGTTAGTATATAAGCCTGGCAGACAAAGCCAGCGGGAATGTATAAAGAAGCAAACAGTAGTGATGGTGAGTTTCGGGTAATTTACGATTCTGTTTCGAGCTAGTGTGTGTTTTGCACTCGTAGAGAGTGAAGTTATTGAGGTTGCGAGTCGCGGTGACGAGAACCGGAACCAAGTATAGATATTAAAGCAAAACAGGATAAAGACCAAGATTTTAAGCCAATAATTGATTTTCTACAAGCAAGTGTTGGGAGAAGGTGTCTTGCTTAAGCCCTGTGACAAAGAACTATTGGGCACAATGGGACCAGTTGAAGCTTGAAGATGGTATTCTTGTCTGGAGATGGGAAAGGGACGATGTGGCAAATAGTTATACCGAGAAAGTTATGGGAAGTTGTACTGCGTCAATCCCATGATAGTTTAACAGGAGGACGTCTTGGAGTTAAGAAGACATTGAGTCACCTACAGCAGAGATTTTACTGGATAGGTATGAGG